GCTTACTCGTAATGTAAACAATGCTTTTACTAGTGCCAAATACGTTTTGGATGTTTGTTGACAGCAAAACGTGCTTAATGTGACAATGTCGGAGCCAATGCAAACAATGTGCAGCGAAAGTGTGCATGGTCACTTCTTCAGTCCAGACCCTTTGGTTAAAATCTTCCCGTTCGCTGGTCTTCTCGTCGCACTAAGCAGTACATCTTTTACTGCTCCTTTCGTTTCAGTGCTTGGAATCATGTCTACTTGTTCACTCACTTGTGGAATTAAGTGGACACTACATTACTTGTGGTGATTGGCATCAACGGTACCATTTCGGTCATTGCGACTTATTTTAAAGGGTATAAGTAATTAATGTGTTGACAACAGACCTGAGGAGAGCAAGGTAGTTAGGTGGTAAACGCAAACAGCACTGGCATTAAGGCTTAAAGAAAATCTCCTACCTTCTTATTTGCCTCATTGCAACAACCGGCGAATGATTCAAACAAGCTTCGCCAGCCTGTATTAACTTGCTTCCATCTTCTTTAAGTGCATTTGCCCAATCTGCAGAACTTACTAATCTTGGTGAGGATTGTCGCTAGTATTTACTGTTAACCATATACCCAAAGTCAGATAGTTCTTCATATCTGCAAATTGATAATATTCGTAGTAGGAAGATTTTGAACAATCCAAATCTCCAGCATATCAACTTACTCGTCTTCATTTACCACTTTACTCGAACCACTAATTCTAGTTGCAGCAGGTTTTTCGGTTATTTGATTGGGTAGGGACACGTTAGTAGAAATGGAAAATAAAAACTATTACGAAGGCGTCATAATATTTGTGCTTCGTGTGAAAGGAAATTCCATCTGAATTTCATGGAGTTAGGCAAGAGCTCAAAAAGTTCAAAAGTTCAAATATTTAAATTTGCGAGGGTGCACCCAAACTCAGTGGGAATGAGGTGTTGTCTTTAGAGTAAATGAGGACGAGGATGGACAAGATTGTAAGTTCTTAAAAGAAGGCAATTTTCTAAACAGCATTTACCTAATTGGTGAGCTATCCCTATCCCTTCCCTAGACATGCACAGTTTCGAGATGTGATGGGTGCACATACTGTTTTGCCCACACAAGCGATTATCAGAAAACACAACTAAAACGGCGCAGCAAGATATCCTTGTGTAGAGGCCGGTCAAGTGCGAGAGAGAAATGTACATTGCGCCACGTCAAAGAGCAATGCATTTGTAAGATTGGTGGAAAATGTTTTTCCCTGTGGAAAAGCTCAATTTTGGCTTCCATAACCTTGTATTATTGTGCGAATTTGAGGCATTCATATCATAAAAGGTTACACACTTTAATTGCGGCAGTGGAAAAGGGAACTGCTGATACCCTTACAATTCATTCTTTTGTATTTGTAGGCCATCAGTTTGGCAAACCCAGTCCCAGTGACTCTTATTCCGTGTTCAGAAGTTCGAATAACAACGCAATTACCCAAAGGGAGTTGCACGATATTCGAAACTTGCAAGCTATTTCAACGCGATTTTCACTAGATTAAAGACGCTATCGTAAAATGTCCAGTATGTTTTCGTTTTGTGTTCAATAGGTATTTCTATTGTATACCTCCCCTTAATCATTCCAATTTGTCCAAATCAAAATGGAGTCACAATGTTTTTTCTGGCCTCAATGCGTAGGATGCGTAGACGGAACTTGATGTGACCGCAAATCCATAACACGTTTGCAAAAGATGAATTTCGAAAAGGATAAAAAACACTTATGAGTGTGAATACCGTCAGACATTGCCTTTGACACACAATAACACTGCCTTGTTCTTCTATAGGGCTATCTTGACGGGTAAACAAACTACACAGATTGTCAGCAGAACGAACCCTGCCCATTTCAGTGGACTACGTCTCCACTGTTGAAGACTGCAAGGCATACCGACTCAGTGCTTTTCACCTGAGATGCCAGGCAAACTAGTTTTCCAATTTACGATGAAACCGCATTGTTAAACAATGCGCAAGTAATGTTACACTGTTGAAACAACAGCCAGCGTGATTCGATTGCTAAAGTGCATCTGTTCCATGAAGATGGGCCTATCTGAAGTCTGTTTTTTCACAATCAAGATATAAAATTGAAGCGATTGGGGATTTGACAAAACCCACGGGCAGTCCGCACTTCATTTCACTATTTTAGGAGGATCCATTTAGCATTATGACCTAGCATGTCGAAATTCTTCTTTGTATCTAGATGCAAACTGAGGGACTAAAGAAACGAGGAGATAATCTACCAATAAATGAGAAACGCATTGAATCCTCTTCATTACCAGCAAGTGTATTTGAAGCACAAATGATTTCGTGCAGGACGGCAGTGTTGTCACATTTTAGAAAGGAGGTCACGCTAAACCACTCGCACCAACTGCATCGTGATGAACACGTTTTGGCGCCGTTGTTACTATAACACTTCTGCTCATTTTAGTGTTAGAGCACTCCACAGATAGACTGGTAAGCAGTCAAAAAGCATACCAATTGTAGCATGTTTGGCCACGAGTCTTAAAAATTTTTAGACTATTTGAGGTGTCAGATAAGCATGGCCCTCGACAATGCTCTTAAATTTGAGCAGAAATGGGTTTGGAATGGGTGGATGATAGAGCGAACTCACACGTCCTTGTCTATAATGGGGGATGGGGGTAGCCATCACGTAAGAGTTGCAACTACAAACCCACGAACTGTTTGCTGTCATGGTTCAGTGGAGAGAAGTGTGGCGATGCCTGCATTATGATAGCTGAGTTGTTGAGCAACCCATTCGTGATTAGTGACACGCGTGCACCATAATGCGCTGGAACTTTACTGCCCCATAAGAAGAATAGAACTCTTGAAGGCTTTTGTAGATATCAACATTTCGATAATTGGCGATAGCAGTTTCAAAAACACGACTTTCAATTGATACAGCTCAACAATGTCTCCTCCTCTCACAGTGACGCGCAAGTAGAAGAGGATAACAAAGTTATAAATTATTGGCCAACTAATTGCCTCCCACATTTGACAAAATGCCTTTTGTCAGTTTATTTCCTTTAACACATTCTAACTCTTATCAAATAAAAATGCCCTCCACATTATTACATTTCCTTGCAGTCAATGCTGAATGGTGAAGGACACATAATTAGCTAGCAAATTTCAGCCCTATTTGACTTGTCCATCTCAAAAGAATTGCCTTGAAGGGTAAGTGCAGATGTGACGGCGATGCTCGAAGCAGTGGCGATGTGTGCATATGAATTACTAAATGTCATCTTTATAGATAATGCCATCTTCTACAATCGTCAATCGCATGCAAATATATCTAATTGTAAGCGTTGATGTAGTGGACCCATTCTGTGAATTCATCCATCTCCTACCCCTTCTTTCAAAGGTTTAACATGCATTCACAACTACTTCAACTCATTCGAATGTGCCAAAATGAAGGAAGTGGAGCATCAACACGCATTAACTGGTCACAGAAGCACATATTCTTGCCTACAGCGCTTAAGTCATCCGTAAAGCATCACGGCAAGGTTATAGTTTAAGAAAACCGTATTATTCCAAAATACAACATCTGAGCACTGTCAGCAACTTGGTGAGCCAAGTGCAGGAGTTCGAACGTCCTCATACTTCCGAGACACTTCCATTGGGTACGAGTTTTTCCCGGTCACTAACGACTGTGTAGTTTTCGATTCCAATTAATTCACATTTTAAGCATGACCTTAATTATCATAGGGATTGGTGGAAGCGTGGTATCGCGTGCCAACAATGCCATCACGCGGCTGACCAGATCTCACCAAACTAAATTTATTTATATGAGCGTGAGTGGCTGGATTTAATTTTGAGGCAAAATGGAGTCCTAATGGACTATTATATAAACTTGGGCTGTGTGAATTCAAAATGACTTTCCTAAGCATTAAGTGAAATTAATTCGGCAATGCATATTTCAAGGACGGAATTGGGTCAATCTTTAACCCCATAGAGTGCCTACATGGGAAGCGAATGCTCAACAACGCGGCTACATCATTCAGAAACAACTGCTGTCAAAATGCAACGCTGTCATCAGTAGACACTGCTATTTGTATGTGTATGCACATGTGTCCTGATTACTTATGCATCAACGGAGTTGGCAATATCGTTGTGCCACTTTGCAATGTATTTTACTCAACATCGTCGCAAACCCAGCCTTACACACATCACTCCTTATGGCATTACCATGCTTGTCAGGAAATGCTTCCTCAGTATTCCAGGTAAACCTAAGATATGCATAATTATTACAAATAAAGACAAAATACTTCCAACATTCAATTTCGGTTGTCAGTTTTAATCACTGATTTTGACGTTTCACAGCGTCCCGTTGGTAACTGAGAGACCAGCGCATATGCCAGTCCGTAGGTCCGAGCGTTGGCCTTGCAGTTGAGACGAAATAAATTGACATGTTTTGAGAGGAAGTAGTAGAAGAAGGTGGACACAGCGGCATGGACAGTGAGGCTACTTCAAAGAGATTCATCCAATTAATGCTGATGAGTCAGCGTGAACTCCTCGGTTAATGCCAAATGTAGCATTGGACCCGACTTCACTGCTTCACTACGCACACCAATATTGTGCCAGTTTTGACTTTGCAAAGTTGGATGGGCATAAACTCATTTCCTGCTTCGCTATTTTCATTATCATGACATTCGTGTTATCAGCCGGTGGATGGCAAATCGTCAATTGATTGTAGAAGCAGTAAGCTACCGTCGACCCAGTGGCAGAGTT